TCCTGCCAGTATTTGAGAAAATGGGTGCCAAAGGTGGCAGTTTACCCAAAAAAGTGACGATTTTGGGTCTTCTACCATTTTCAAACACTTGTAACTTTTTTATTATTAAGCCGATCGTACTCAAATTTTTTATTCCCACAGACATTCATACTTACTCAGAGCTTCTAAAGCGGCAATGTTCTGCGTGCTTTAAGTACGGAGTTATTCTAAATGAAAACATTCAGTTTTGAACAACTTCACAATCTCCCAAAATGTATCTTTATTGCACATGAAAACTGCAATTCTTTGAATTTTCAATTGAAAAATTCTAATAGCAAGATATCCCTTTGTGTCTGGTTAATTAATAACTATGAAAAGTGGTGTGAATTTTATCACCTAGCAAACCAGTTACAATATAGGCAATAGGCTGAAGCTCAAAATGTGGCTAGAAATAGGATTTCGCTCCACTAACCTGGGGACTACTTTTGATAGCACTTTTCCAATCTTGAATATGTACTGGAGCTGGGAAAAAAAGTTCTCCATGGGATTCCTGCCAGTATTTGAGAAAATGGGTGCCAAAGGTGGCAGTTTACCCCAAAAAGTGACGATTTTGGGTCTTCTACCATTTTCAAACCCTTGTAACTTTTTTATTATTAATGCGATTGTACTCAAATTTTTTATTCCCACAGACATTCATACTTACTCTGAGCTTCTAAAGCGGCAATGTTCTGCCTGCTTTAAGTACGGAGTTATTCTAAATGAAAACATACACTTTTTAACAATTTCGCAATTTCCCAAAATATATATTTATTGCACATGAAAACTGCAATTCTTTGAATTTTAAATTGAAAAACTCTAATAGAAAGATATCCCTTTGTGTCTGGTTAATTAATAACTATTTAAAGTGGTGTGAATTTTATCACCTAGCAGACCAGTTACAATATTGGAAGCAGAATTTTCGGAAATAACAATAAAAACTAGAAGAATCTTCAAGTAAATTTATACTGTTTATTCAATGGATCTGATATCAACTTAAGCATTCATGGAATTAATGAACAAATAATAACAAAAATAATAGTAACAAC